CTAATCCCATGCTCTCTAATCCCATGCTCTCTAATCCCATGGACCCTGTGACTCGCCCGCTACGGGTCTTTAATGCAACAAACATTCAACTGCTTGGGGGGAAAAAAGTGGATGGCCAAAGAGAAGCCCACGTGTTTAACCGCTCCCAGACCCCTGTTCCAGGCAGAAAGGATGCCATCCTGGCCAAGATTTCGAGGAACAACAATCTACTCTGCTGTAGTCCTCCACTCCCCCCTTCTTTCTCAAGGGACCATCATTCTCAGGGTAGTGTGGTGTCCTTGGGCAGGAGATCTGGCTCTGCCACCAACAAGCAAGTTAAAATGCTGCTGCTTCTCATTAAAAAAAAAAAGACTCCAGGTGAACAGAATTAAATTAATTACATAATCCTTAACAGTCTCTGGGTGGCACATGGTTTGCACTAGACCAGGGGTTGGCAAACTGGGACTCATGGGCCATACACGGCTCTTTCGGGACATATATGTGGCTGTGGAGTAAAACTGAAAAGTTTAAAAGGGTATTATTCAGATAAGAGTGATTTCCTTTGTTCATAAACATGTGTTTTTCGCTCTTGAATAATTTAAAAATTGTTGTGAGGGACAGGATTGGTTCTTCCAACACAAAAGTTTTCTGACCCAGCACTAGACTGCTAGCCTAAACGTTAGTGGTCTGGAGCAGAGAGGGAGGGGGAAAAATGAGGAGCTGATACCAAGGGCTCAGGAGAAAGCAAATGTTTTGAGAATGATGAGGGCAACAAATGTACAAATGTGCTTGACACAATGGTTGGATGTATGGATTGTGATAAGAGTTGTATGAGCCCCCAATAAAATAACTAAAAAAAGTTAGTGGTCTGAACCCACCAGTGACACTGTGGCAGCAGCCCTGGTGATCTGCACGCATAATGACTACAGCCAAGAAGAGCCTATGAGCAGACCGACTCTGTAACCCCACGTCGTGAGTTGGAATCCACTTGATGACAACTAACAACATTTAATTCTTAGGATATGAGCACAACTCATACATTGGTTGATATAGTTAAAGTTTATTGTGTCAACCTGGCCGATAAACACATGTGGGGTTAATTGAAGGGTAGAGAGATAAATGGCTCAAGTGAGCCTTGCCTTTCTAGTTCTTGGGTCTCTTGCTTTGTGATGGTCAGACCAGGGTGCAGCTGCCTTAGCCAGTTCCCTGCTTCACCTGGTAAGGCTCACTTCCTGCAAGACATCCCTGAGGAGAAGCCACATGGACCTACCCCGATGCAGCCCTGGGTGCTGGAGCAGCCATGTGGAGACCCCTGCCAGCACTGAGATGCTTACACACTCACTGACTCGGCTTTCCTCCGGCAGTCGGCATCAATGCGTCTGTTTTGTGAGATGGAGGAGGACTATGTGGATTGGTGTTGGACATATGGGTTAATGGGTTAATGTTGGACTTGTGGGCTTGGGCAGCACTGGGTTGGGATGCATTCTTGATGTGCACTTAACCTTAATATAAAACTCTCTCTTATACATGAGTTTCTATGGATTTGTTTCTCCAAAGTACCCAGACTAACACATTGGTCTACACATGACTCTTTTGTTCATTTAGTTGGTTCATTTTAATAGCACAATAGGCATCTGTGATTCCAACACCTTCCATGGAAGTTAGAACCTTGATACAACCTATGTCTCACCTACCATCTCCATCCCTCTCCACCTCATGGTAAGTAGCTCTTGAATTCCATGTTCATTACAGCCCTTCTTTTCTTTCTATGCAGTTCACTGCAGCTCCATTTAACCCTAAAAACTTGGTTAAACAGTTATAATGTTATAGATAGGGAGCCCTGGGAACAGAATCATTGAGTGCTCGGCTACTAACCAAAAGGTTGGTAGTTCGGATCAACTCATCGGCTCTGAGGGAGAAGTTTTGTTGATAGCCCTAGGGGACAGTTAGACTCTGTCACCTGGGGTCACTATGGGTTGGAATTGACTTAATGGCACCCAACAATTGCAATGTTACAGGTCGGGTTTGGAACCTTGGTTTTTTTCTCTCCTGCCATTTCAAATACTCAGCTGTAGTGGCTAAATTCACCCATCTAACATAGTTCATTCCTTTTAGTCCTGTCTAATATTATACTGGTTTGACTAAACCACAATTATTCGCTCACTCTCCTGGTGATGGGTGTTTGGATGTCGCCAGATGTCTGCTATGGTAGATAGTGCGTGTGGCCATGAACATTGCTGTCAATGCCCCGGAAGACAGAAGCAGACATCTTCCTTGGGTACCAACCCATGAGGGTAATGGATAAGTTTTAGGGCACATGACTTTCAATTCATAACGTGATGCTGACGTCCAAATAATCCTCATCTTCTCTAGCACTTGGTACTGACAGATGTTTACATTTTTTCCCAACAAAGAGGCATAAATCTGTATCTTACTATGGTCTTGACATGCATTTCCTTGATCATAAATTATTTGTATATTTCATCAAACCTTTAGGCATTTCTTCTCCTAACATGCTGGCTCAGGCCACCCCGTTTCACTAGTGGGCTCACCTTGTAGTTAGCAGCCTGGCACGCAATCACTCCACCACCAGGGCTCCTCAGTGCAAACTCACCCATGTCCAAAGAGGACACCGTGAGGCTCAGGCAAGGGGGAGCAGATGCAGGGGCCTGAGGGCCCTCCTGGTGAGAGTGCCAGCTCTGATAGCACTTAAGGACGAGAAGTGAATTTAACTCTGTCACAAAACCAAAGATCAGAGACCGTGGGAACTCAGAGAATTCAGACCGATGTGACAAGGTGGCGCTGGTTTCCAATTGCCCTCACTGACAGGGGATCGTGTAACTCTGACTTGGCATGTGTTCTGATACTTCTATTTCGGTACAGGTTTGTCTGATAGCCTGAAGTTCTTGTCATCTAGAAGTTTCCCTTGTGCATGATGCATCACCCACTCAGGAGAAGCCGCAAACCTCTTCCCTTCTGCTCTGCCTCCTCTTCCCATGGCACTCAGCCACTCATGCACCCAGAAGTCCAAGCAGCATCTGCCAGGGGCCGCCATGAGAAACCAGTCTTCCAAAGACCGATTCCCAGGCAGATATGCGGTCAACACACAGAAGCAGATGGTCAGTAAAAACACCGTAGACTCTGTTGTGAGTTACCATTGAGACAGCTCTAACTTATAGCCATCTACAGACAACAGAACAAAACACCGCCTGGTCTTGTGCCATCTTCCCGGTCGATGGTGCGCTGAACCCACTGCTGTGACATTGTGCACTGCTGTCCCCTCTCACTGAGGGCCTCGCTCACTCTCATGGACCCGCGGCTTTCTCCAACACGATGTTCTTTTCGACTGATGGGTCTCTCCTGATGATGCGTCCAAAGGGAGTTCAAAGTCTGGCTATTTGCACTTCGAAGGAGCATCCTGGTTGTAGTTCTTCTAAAACCGAGTGCTCTTTGGGCAGTCTGCAGTATATCTCATGTTCTTTGCCAACACGACAGGTCAAGACATCACGTCTTCTGTTTGCCTTTATCACTGTCTGTTTCCATGCACACAAGGTGACTGAAAGGTCCATGGCGTGTGTCAGGCACACCTTAGTCATCCGCGCGACATCTCTGCTTTTCAGAACTTTAAAGACATATTTAAAACGTCAAGCTCTGATCCAGACTGTATACATATGTCATTTTAGGGCTTCACTCAGCCAGGAGACAGTGGCCCATTCTGAACCAGCTCATAACTGCCATCAGAACCCCCAGAAAACCTACACTCTCACACACACAAATGTACACACCCTTAACACGCACACACCTATAAGGAGGCTTCACGAAGTTCATGAGAAAACTTCATCATCTTTCAATTCCATTGTCCCAGGAACTTTTAGAAGCCCCTTGCACACATACACACACGACACACACACACATACTCCCTTAGGCTTTTCAGATCTAGGATCTAGACTTGGCAATACATTTACAGAGTAAGCCTGGTTACTGAAATAAGGGTAAATTCAAACACCTCTAAGAGGCTGCTTTGATTTTAGGCGGCTTTACATCTGTCTGGGAAGCTGACTTCTGCACGCCAGCCTTTCTGGACAATTCTGGGTTCCTGCCTATCTGTCCCCAGGTACACCTGGCTGCTTAGATGTATCAGATCTACTCTCAGCTGGACATGGGGAAATGTCTTTGGCTTCAACGCAAATTGTCTTGGCTGTGCCAGCGATCAAGGTGGGTGTGACGAGCAGGAGCTGGCATGGGAGGGCTATGCACAGAGGGCTATCCACAGAGGGAAGCCAGGAGCAGGGCCGTGGGGAGACAATGGGCTGACCTCCCCGTCTCCTGCCTGGAGACAGCTCCATAGGCCACTCGCCTCCTTAGGGAGCAAGCCTGGATTAGCATCTGTGCCATAAATCATACTAACAGGCATCTGACCGAAGGTCTCAGAGCCTTTGATCTCCCTGAGCAGCTCCCGGCGTTGCTGGAACTTGCTGAAGAAACCTGCCCAACGTGGCCTGTCCCCAGGAGCAGTGAGAGGGTGGCGAGGAAAGACTGTGCACCCACCTGTCCCTGAGGAGGATCTGCAGCAGGGAGGGCCAGCGTGGTGGCTCTGCTAGTTATGGGGGCTGAGTCTGATTGATCCTGGGGCGAGAGATTCACGAGGGAAACCTTGACAACCAGAAGGCGCACGGTGACTCAGAGAATCACTGCCTCCCTGGCCATGACCTGTTCTGCGGGCTGAGCCACCGCCTCTTTGGCCTTCCCGTCAGCGGTGGCACTGTGGTTACTAAGCACAGGGCTGCTAGCCGCAAGGACAGCGGTGCGAAAGCCCAGCCACTCCGAGGGAGAAATGAGAGGCTTGTACTCCCGTTAGAGTCGCGGTCTGGGAAACCACAGGGCCGTGCCACCTGCCCTCTGGGGTCGCTCTGAGTTGGCACTGACTCGGTGGCAGTGAGTCTGCTTTGGTTTGGCTGGTTCTTAGAAGAGTCCGGTTGCCAGGTCAACCTTAACTCTGTTTTAAAAATGACCCGAGCTTCCATGTTGCCATCACCCAGTGCTAATCAAGCCAGTTCTGATTGATCCGCCACCCAGATTGATCTGGGACGCTTCGGTTCATGGACTCACCTCGAACGTAAGCGAAGGCGGCCAGAGAGTTGCTCACCATGACGCCATCTTTCCTCAGAACCCGCGATCCACTGGGGTCGAAGTTCACATCTGTGTCGTGAAAACGGCAAGACCAGTTAATCGCAGTGGATTGCAGCACACGGGCCTGGAGAGACCCCAGCTGTGCCAGGGCTGCCAGTCAATAAAGAACCAGGGAGTCGAACCAGGGGGCCTCGGACGACCTCATGGTCAACCAAGCCAGCAAGAACACTTAGTAAGTGGCTCCTGAGACTATGAGGTGGGAAAAGGGGATTTTGATAGTCTTTTAAAAAAGAAAATGAATCTATTACAATTTCAGGTGAGGATTGTTGACTGCCATTAAGCCATGCTCATTTCCATCCACAAGGCTGAGGCGTCCGCCTCCCATCATGCCTCTGGGGCTTTGGGCCAGCGCTCTGACCCCAGCGCTCCCGGCAGCACGGGCATTGAGCCCAAACCCTAGGTTCTCTCAGCCACCCTCACCTTTAGGTTTTGGCTTGCCTTTCTTTAAAAGGGCTTTAAAATGAACACTTATATTTTTTCTTAGCAAATAAAAGGGAACATCTCAATGGTCTTATCAAATCTAGACTGTGGTTCCCAGCTGGGAGGTGGGGGTGGGGGGTGGGTGGGCACAGGTTCCTGATAGAAGCTGCAAAGACCCAGCGGAGCATCCAAATGCTGAGCTCCGGGCGCTGGGCGTTTGGCTTTGGGTAACTGTGTATAAGTTCCTGACAGTCCTCCCATTCTAACGAAGGTGCCCCAACTATGGTCCCCTGGGGGCCTCCTGCCTTCACTCCAAGAGAAAGGCTGGGCATGGCCCCACACATTACCATGTTCACGGTCTTTCTTCTTCAGAGGAGGGTCTAGATGGCCGACAGCCGGATCAATGGCGGTGAGGATGTTCCTGGGAACTGAAAAGCAACAAAGAGAATACTTGAGCTACGTTGCAGCTTTAGAGAACTTAGACAACGTGTGTGTCTTAAAATGCAAGGTAGGTGCAAGTCTGGCTGGACCAGAGGAGGTACACTGGTACAGATAGGAACTGAAAATACAGGGAATCCAGGACGGATGAGCCCTATAGGACCAGTGGTGTGAGTGGCAAAACAGGGAGGGTAAAGGGAGAATGGGTAGGAAAGAGGGAACCGATTACATGGAACTGTGTGTGACCTCCTCCCTGGGGGACAGACAACCGAAAAGTGGGTGAAGGGAGACGTCAGACAGGGCAAGATATGACAAAATACCCATTTATAAACTATCAAGGGCTCATGAGGGAGGGGGGAGCGGGGAGGGAGGGGAAAAATGAGGACCTAATGTCGGGGGTTTAAATGGAGAGAAAATGTTTTGAGAATGATGTACAAATGCGCTTTACACAATTGATGTGTGTATGGATTGGGTAACTAACTGTGTATGAGCCCCTAATAAAATGTTTTAAAAAGTTGTATGAGCCCCTAATAAAATGTTTAAAAAAAAAAAAAAGCAAGGTAGGTAAGATCTTAAAAATCACTTTTCAAATCAGTGTGTGAACCACTCTGCCTGTCAGACCACACACACACACACACACACACACACACACACACACACACACACCTGTGTCATCATCAAATCTTCTAGAAAGGTGACCTTTTTAGGCCCCTTGGGCAATATTAAAGACAAGAACAGCATGGTGAGTGGGTAAGCAAGCTGTGGCATGCCCATCCAACGGATTGCTCCTAAACCATAAAAAGTTACGCAGCCCTTCACAAACCTGCTGGGGGTGGGCACGGTCCCACTGCATTTTCAGGAAAGGTCAGTGTATCGGGACAGAAAGTTGGTTGGCCACCAGCAGCTGGCATTGAGGCCAGCGAGTGACTGCAAATGGACACTAGGCACTTGAAGGGGTCTGGCAATGGTTTAAGATTGGAGGGTGGTGATGGTTGTAAAACTCTGCAAATGTACTTAAACTCCATTGCCTTCCCTTTAAAAGGGTGGATTTAAGGCACAGAAATCCTACTTCATTAAAACCGTGAACTCCAAGCAAGGACGTTTCAGGAGAGACAGAAAGCCAAATGCCCTCCATGAACTCAGATGTTACCGTAGGGAAGCCCCCACTCCTCCTCTGCTCGGCACCGGAGCTCCTGCTTCCTCGCTTCTATAATAAGTGTGGGGGGGATTCTGGAGATGCCGTGCTAGGCTACAAGTTACCAGCATAGACGGACGAGGAGCGGAAGGCTGCAGGATAGGTCAGATCTGGTAGAAAGTGGTTTAAAGGTTCTGCCAAGCTGACTTCACTAGAAACCACCTTGGCAGAGCTGGTGGCAGGTGAGAGGGCCAGCTGACCAGCAGAACCTGGCAGGAGTCCTCAGACAAGCCACACGGCAGCAAGCTGAGAGGCAGCAGGGGGGACCCAATCTTTGTTCTTGCAGAAAGATTACTTTTGTTGGTGCTCAAAACCAAAAAACAATCAAAGTCACTGCCATCGGTTCAATTCCGACTCATTATGACGCTCTAAGAGAGTAGAACAGCCCCTGTGGGGTTCTGAGACTGTACATTCTTTATAGGAGTAGAAAGCCTCCTCTTTCCCCAAAGAATCAGCTGACGGTTTCAAACTGTTGGCCTCGTGGTTAGCAGCCCAGCGCATACAAACTACACCACCAGTTTGTACTCCAGCCTGGCTGACATTTGGGAGACGTGGCGACAGGACACAGAATCGAAGACAACAGAAGTGCAGTGTGTTTGTTCAACTGCACTTTCAGGGCCAACGAATAAGAATGAGCTGGAAAGACATTTTCAAAAGCAAGGAGGGCTCACCTCCATTCTCAGCCTGCCTATCCATTGTCCCTTGGGGCTGTCCCAGGACCAACAACCAGAAAACATTCTGGAAGGGTGGCTTTTCCACACACAGGGGGTTCCTGGCAACCTTCGTGTACATCAGGGAGGAATGGCGAAGAGGCGGGAGCCAGCTGCACTTGCCCAGGGCTCTGAGGGATGCCCCTTGGCTGGCCGCAGACACCCAGCTGACCCTGGGACCATGGCACCGCTCCAGGGAGCTGGACTGTGTGGCCACAAAATGCTTTCTAATTAACCAGCCTCTCCGTCATCTGTGAGCTTCAAGAAAGGCACGCTGGATTTCCTGGCAGTACCAAGTCCAGGAGAACCCTCTCTCCCCGCGCCAGGCTGGATGCTGCCAGGGCTGCAGAGCCAACAGGGCTGGCTTCCAGGGCACCTCAGCCATGTGGGCCCCGTGCTGTCCTGAGCTGCTTAGGCAGAGTGGCAGGAATGGAGCGCGCAAGTGCCTCCCACCCCCCAAATTCATCCTCCCTGTACATTTAAGTGTGGGTGATAGTTCTGTGAGTATGCCTTTGTGTGGTTATGTCATTGTTCCCAGGACAGCACTGATGTCTCAGAGGATAAGACTTTTAATCCAGGCAGGAGCCTGGAGGCACAGTGGGTTATGTGTTGGGCTGCTTGCCACAAGGTCAGCAGTTCAAACCACCAGCTGCTCAGAAAAATCAGGCTTTCTGCTCCCACAAAGAGTTTCAACCCCACCAGGGGCAGGTCTTCTCTGCCCTGTAGCGTCACCATGGGTCAGACTCAACTTAAGGGCAATGAGTTTGGTTTAGATAGAAATCCCAAACTAAAACGGGCTATTATTCAGCATGAAAAAGAAACCCAATCAAAGACGGCCCTACGCCCTAGGCTACCTTATGGGTGCACATAGGACTTACACACTCAGGCGCTGAGTATACGTACATGAAAGGCCCAGGCCAGCTGACGCACAGAGACCTGCAGGGCAGTTGCTTCAGGGTGGGAGAGCAGAGATGGTGGACTGGGGGTGGGGGAATGATGAACGATGGGGGTCTTCTCTTGTTGGTGTGATGAGAAGGTTTAAAATGGACTGCAGAGAGGGTTGTATAAACAAAACACGTGACAAACCATGGACTTGAACATGCTCAGAGGTGTGTCTCTTTTCTGTTCGGTGCCGTGAGTCAGCTCCCGAACAACAGAACAAAGCACCGCCAAGCCCTGCGCCTTCCGCACCATCGTTCTCACTGGGTGAGCTCATGGTTGCACCCACTGTGCCGATCCATTGTGCCAAGGGCCTTCCTCTTTCCCCCTGACGCTCTGCCTCACCTCTCATTGCCATTGAGTTGATGCCGACTCATGGTGACCCTCTAGGACAGGGTAGAATAGGAAGCCTCCTCTTTCTCCCACGGAGCTGCTGGTAGTTTTGAACTGCTGACCCTGAGATTAGCAGCCCGACACATAGATCATGACGCCACCACAGTTTACTCCATCACCACGTTACCAAACATCATCATATCCTTCTCCAGGGACTGCATGTGAACGATAGCTCAATAAATTGTGCACGTGCGCGCACGCGCGCGCGCGCACACACACACACACACACACACACGCACGCACGCACGCACGCACGCACACACACACACACACACACACACACGACCCTAATGAGGGAAGAGGGCTCCCAAGGACACTTATCAACCAGGTCCACTGCTGTCTCTTTGTTTTTATGCTCATTTCTAAGAATGCTCAATGCATCATGATTACTCACCGACACCCCACTTACCTTAAGAAAAGAGCTAGGGGTTCAGCGTTAAGTGGCCTCATACAGTTGGGATCTAAACGCACCAGGCATTCATTTTACTAGTGAAAGACTCGAGACAACAAAGCCACACTTTCACATAACGCCTTACACCGTGGAAGGGTAAGCGTCGGATCTGTGGACTCAGCATGGTGGGCATGTCGATAAGCTAGCTGTGGGCAGCAGGGAGAGTTAGTCACCGAAGGCCTCAGAGCAGCCCCAGGAGGTTAAACCGGAGGCAAACAGTACTGTGGTGAACTCGGATGACACAGCAATCAATCTTCGAGCCTCCTCAGAACCCAGCTCCACATCACTGTACTCAGTGACGCCAGCTTTAGCCACCGGCTTGGTCTTTTCACGCCTGCCCATGTGCTGCCAATCTGATGGCGAAGAACACGTATAAAACACATTTTGCGGAAGACAACTCTGTTGCTTATCGGATGCGAACGTCGTAAAGAAGGATAAAGGAGCGGGGGTGGGGAGGAGGCGTCGTGAAGCCCTGGGATGACGAGGCCGTTTCGGGGGAACGTCCCTGGCCGGTTGTTTGCAGACCACGTGGCCACCCGCACCCCACCACCCTGATCCCTACTCACAGCGGCCGACGTCAATCAGACAGCTGGCTCTTACCGCATGCGTAGGTGACTGTGAGGTATTTTTTCACTCCGGGCAGACAGGGGCTTCCGAAATGGTGATTGTTGACAATGATTCTGCACCTCTGTTTCCCATAGCACCTCCTGGACAGCACTTGCAAAGCGGAATAGGACAGGCAGTCTGAAAGGCAAGGACCACCCAGGAAAGTTCGATGCTTAAGTCCACCTGTGCCCAGCCCATCCTCAGTGGTTGTCTGTGTGCACACTGGTTCTGGCCACACGAGACCACCAAGGGAGCCTTCCATGGCCAGCCCAGCCACTACCCCACCAGCCTCCCTGCAGAGCAAAGGTAAGTAAAAACCACGCCCATTCCTGCCCAGTCAATCCTGACTCACAGAGACCCCGTAGGACGCAGTGGAACTGCCCCCAGAGGGTGCCCAAGGCTGCCATCTTTATGGAAGGAGCCCTGGTGTCACAGTGGTTATGAGTTGGGCTGCTGACCACAAGGTCAACGGTTCAAGCCCACCAGGCGCTCTGTGGGGGATAATGAGGCCGTCTACTCCCCTGCAAAGAGCTGCCATCTTAGAACCCCCGGGGAGTTCTGGTCTGTCCCGTCAGGTAACTCTGGGTCTGAACGGGCTCGCTGGCAGCAAGCCTGCCTTTCGGTTTGGTCTGGACTCTCTCAGAAGCAGACGGCCACACCGTCCTCTGGTGAGTCAGACTAGCTGATCTTCCCCTTAGAAGTGACGCACTCTAACCACTGGGCGACCAGCGCTCCTAAAGAGAGCTAGTCCTCCGGGGTGCTTTCCCTCTCATTCCACTTCTGAGATGGGCTGAGCGCCACACCGCGAGAACCAGCTTCACCCGGCACATGCTCAGAGGGGCCCTGCGCTCCTGCGAACTTGAGTTCCTTAAGGAATTTGAACAAGGGGGCCTGCCCTTCCATCTGCACTGCATGGGGCGAGTTCTGCCGCTGCCTGCAGGTACTATGTGGAGGACCTTGAATGAAGCTTCCTGGTGTCTTCTGTGACCCTCACCGCTTTGTCACGTTTTATTTGATCAAGAGTCCCTCTCCCTGCCTGCACAGAAGCCCTGTGAGGGCAGCGCTGCTTTCTGTCTTGTTCACCGTCAGTCCCCACGCCTGGCACACAAGGCAGCATCGTGAGCAGTGAATGGATGGATAAGATGAAGGAATACACCCAAGGGAGACACCCCCAGCACCCTGGATCAAGGTCAGCACCATCAGTGCCTATGAGCTGAGCGTCTGCCGAGGACGAGGCCCTAGGTAGCCTGTCCCTGAGTCTGCAAAGGAGCTGGGGACCCTCGGTATCTAGTACCAAGTGACAGTGTGCGAGGGAGTGGTCGGAGCGAGAAGTTGCTGTGGGAGGGCGTGGGTGTTAGCTAGGCTTTCGTGCGGACGGGCTTGGCCATGGAGCAGGAATCTGTAGCTCTGGGAAGGGAGATGTAACTCAAGGGTTTGGGACTTTATTTTGCAAGCAACAACAAACTGGTAGGATTGTCCTCCAGGGAGAGTGGACAAGGTGTTTCCCCCATCAAAATCCAGAACCTCTGTTCATCGAAACACATCATAGAGAACATGAGGGGTGGAGGGGGGCTGTGCAAGGGAGCTGACATCAAGGAGCTCCAGAAGGAAGAGACTGCCTGGGCACTGCCTGTGGTCACAATTGCACAACACTGCCTGATGGTGTATGATACACCACTGAACGATGGTGTATGACATGATGCCTGTATGAGCTCCCAGTAAGATGGTTTGGAAACAAAAGAAAGAAAGAAGATGAAAACCCACAAAAAGGAGAAGACATTTTCAACAAATATACTGAGTAAGACTTAAAACTCTCAAAGCCACTGCATCAAGCTGATTCTGGCTCGTAGCAACTCCATCTGGGAGATTTCTGGAAACTGTCAATCTTTTTTTTGTTTTTGAAATCATTTGATTGGGGGCTCATACAATGCTCATCACCATACATACATCTATTGTGTCAAGCACAATTGTACATTTGTTGCTATCATCATTCTCAAAACATTTGCTTTCTACTTGAGCCCTTGGTATCACCTCATTTTTCCCCTTCCTCCCCACCCCACTTCCCTCACGAACCCTTGATAATTTATAAATTATTATTATTTTGTCATGTCTTACACTGTCTGACATCTCCCTTCACCTACTTTTCTGTTGTCCATCCCCTAGGGAGGAGGTTATATGTAGAGTCTTGTAATCGGTTTCCCCTTTCCACCCCACCTTCCCTCCACCCTTCTGGTATCGCCACTCTCACCACCGGTGTCCTGAAATGATCATCTGTCCTGGATTCCCTGTTTCCAATTCCTATC